TTTGTAAAGAAAGAAGACTTACATTACTGATTTGCCACATTCATAACTATCACATGCATAGCAGCAGGAAAGCTCTCAATATGCCTCACACATGGTGCCATTCCATTTGCTTCCAATAAGGTATGCACTCACTAAGAGGTGGGAAGTATTCACCTTCATCATTAAGCACAGATGGACTAAGGATTGCTGTTTCTGTAGTCCCACCCTGCCAGTCTATCATGTCCATTGACATTCGGAGAAGGAATCAGCTCCATCTCGATCAAGGAGGCCTTGCTCATAAATAGTCAGTCTGTGACTCATCACTACCACCACCAGGAATCAGGGCTATTGCAGTCAGGCTGATAGATTCAGGTGGGTAGCTGTTTTGTTCTGAAGTAGCAGAACAAAGTTTGAGTCAGTGGCACCTTTAAGACCAAAAAAAGCTTTATCCAAGGTATAAGCTTTCATGGGCATGCACACTTCTTCAGATACAGTGAAACTGATTTTAAATTCAAGCTGAGATAGTGCTTCAAAGACAAAGCAAACTTGACTTATCCATTCAGTGACCATTTCCATAAGGAAGGAGACCTTATCCTCACTGCAGAGTAGAAAGCACTCTGAGATTAAAGGGATTTGGTTCAAACATCTGGACGTCCCTTGGCCCAAGACAATTTTCCACTTACAAAACAGAAAAACAATAAAAAACCACATTCATTTCACACCAGCACAGATTTATTTTTATGGGGATGAACGACACTGCTGACCAATTTCTTGCACATTGAGCACACTGCGCTTGTTTGTGAAGGGATGCCACTGGCCTTGGATACTAGGGTTATCTGTATGGAAAGGCTTTCGAATGCGCATGATCTCTAGGCCAGACTGGTTAGCCAATGTCTGGATGATCTCTGCAACCTCATCTGCTGTCTTGCTGGTTAAGGGTTTCACTTCCACGGTCCCATTCACTGGAAAAACAAAACATAATACACTGTATGAAACCCAGACCTTTCTCTCATTCCAACTAGGAGAAAAAAAAAGTTCTCCAGGCACTTTTATAATTCCCCAGATTTTCAGATGCTGCGAAGGTCAAAATTAAAACAAAATCTTTAAACTCCCCACTTTGACCCTTATTCATTAATGCTATAAATTAAGGTCTACTTTACATTTGCCCAATGTGATTCATCCAGCAAACAATGCATCTGCATCTACTGCTTTTGGAGAAGGAACCTATTTGATTATTACAAATACATTTCACAAGTGATAGTGGTACTTACTGACAGCATCTCTTCTAATAACATTTTTCTTACTTACAATATTCAGCCTCTATTGTTGGAACCCTGCTCTTCTTTGGACACACGTATAACACAATCCCAGGGTTCTGCCTGGCAAAGTCCACCACCTTTTCTTCAACATACTCTCTAGAACAAGACAAAAAGCACCATATGGATGTTAAAAAACAAATTACACCAAAGCTGACTGAGTTAACAAGTAATACAGCTATAGTTACCTTTCCAGAATTTGTTTTTAACATGAAAACCTAAGAAGAATCTCACTGGATCAGCTCAGTGGTCCAGCAAGTCCATATCTTTGTTTCACACTTGAGCTGATCAGAAGACTCTGGGAAGCCCACAAGCATGATGGTAACCAGCATCCCATTTCTCTCATGCAACCGGCATTCAGGTATATATTGCATGTGAAGATGAAGGCTCCACTTAGCAATCCTAATAGCTACTGACAGTCTTTCATCCGTGCATTTTCTAATCTTTTAAAAAACCACCTAAGTTGGTAGCCATCACCACATCTTGTGGCAACAAACTGCATAAGGTATACAGTCTGTACAGGGGGTACGGGGGGGGGGGGGCTTTTGCCTGTCCTGAATCTACTCCCAGTCAATTTTACTGCGTGACTGACAAGTTCTATTACTGTAAGGGGACAAAAAAAGCATTTCTGTCCACTTTCTCCACATTGTGCATAAATATTATCAGCCTCTATCATGTCGTCATCCCCCCCCCCCCATGCCTTTTTTTCTAACCTAAAACATTCCAGGTCCTTAGCCATTCGTTGTAGGGATAGTGCTCTAACCTCTCAATCATTTTGTTTGGCTGGTTTTTGACACCTTTTTTGGCTCCACAATATCTTTTTGCAGATAAGGCAAGCAGAGTAGTACACAGTATTCCAAATACGGCTTTGTCATTAATAGTGGCATCATGATAATGCTCCTCTTATTTTCAATCATACTTAACAATCCTAGAATGGAATTTACCCTTTTCACTATTGTCACAAACTGAGTTGACATCTTCATTGAGCTGCCCACCATGACCCCAAGAGCTCATTCCTTCTTAGTCACTGCCAGCACAGACAGTATTTGTTAATAAGTTAGAATACTTTTGCCCCAAAATTCAATTGACATTGAACCATCTGCCATTATTTTGCCAATTCATCAAGTCTAGAGAGATCCTTTTGACATGCTTTACAATTTTCACCATCCTGTATACTTGGTAATGTTACTTTTCACCCCTACCTCCAAATCATTTATGAATAAGGTAAATAGCACCGGTATAGACACTAGCGTTTCTTCCCTCTTCCATGCCAAGAATTGTTTATTCTTATCAGTGGTTTCTGGTTACTTAACCTATCAATCTATAAGAAGGCCTTCCCTTTTATCAAAGGATTGCTAAAATCTACTCAAGAGTCTTTTGTGAGAGACTTTGCCAAAAGCTTTTTGGAAATCCAAGAACACCAGATAATGAATTCATAGTAGTTATTCATTTTTGGCATGCAGCCAAGACATCTTTTCTTAAGGCAGAGTTTCTGCTGCAGAGACATCTGCTGCATGTCCCCAGCATTTAAACTGCAATATTTTGCCTGTGCAAAAAGGTGATCCTTTCTCCAGAGGCCAACTGCTCCCTTGAAGTACCACTTCAGTGCAGGAAACTTCATCATATTCTTCTTTCTGAGGCTTAATAAATGAGTTCACCATTTAGGAAGTTTACAATTGTCTCTGTTTGCTTTTCTGAAGCACTTTTGGAGTGTACTTGTAATGCAATATTTTTAGAAAGCAGCAGAAAAATTGTTATTCTCTCAGCCCAATTAAAGTTATTGTTCTTGAATGGAGATTTGAACAACGTTGCATATCATAAAGTAACTGGGACATGGATTCACTCACTTGGATAAGGCTTTGCTGTTACACTATCATTTAATAGCACGAAAGTGTTTTGCAGCTACAAATGCAGTATAAATGCAAAGTTCTTCACCACTGCAACAATGGCATTTCAACTGCAGGGGCTCCACCAAACTGCATCTCATCTACATTAAGGGTGTATAAAATCACTGGTTTTTATTAAGTATTATCTATTTTACTAAATAGTTTACATCCCTTGTTTGAACATCATTTCTTAAATAATTGGTTCCATGATTTAAAATCAGTTTCAAATTTCATACCTGAATTCAAATCACAGATTTGAATATGTCAAATCACTGATTTTAATTCATCCACCCTGTTCACACAACTGCATCTCAAGGCAACATGCTTTCATTCCTGTTCTAAACCATTCCTTATGAAATCATTGCAATAGTATGATGGGAAACACATTTCACCTGTATTGAATGCACTATCAAATAAAGCCTGAATACACTGAAAAACAAAATAACCAGATTATAATATGCCAGAAGTGGAATACAGGAGGACTACTAAGGGGGTTCCATAAACATAACTACATGGCTTCGGATAAGCACACAAATAACTCATGCTATGGAGAACACACACAAAAATTTCAGAATCACCAGCTAATCCACTTTGCTCTTCAGTCCAAGTTTGTGTTTTTGTCACAAGAGCCAGCAAGATTTCCACTCAAACACCACACATCATTCCACAAAATAAATCCCAAATTCACATTATTGTGTTATGCATTCTTTCCACAAGACAGAGCACAATTTTGTATGTTACAATAAAACCCCAACAACAATAAAACATACATAACATTACTGAATTGTATTGTACCACTCAGCTAAATTGGACTCTTCTTCCAGCAAAAGAGACTCCTTGTGCTGGAGGGAGGCTGCACATTTAGCAGAGTAGGCAGCATTATTCTGACTGGACCCATAACACATCTGAAGTTCCTACAGATTAAATCTTAACCATCTCTACAGTTAATGGACCTTAATGGATTTGAAGATGCAGCATTAACAACACATATGTTCTAGGCAAGTTCTAGCCAAAGTTTTACAACTCATTGCACAATCATTTGTCATGGGAACTTCAAACACAGACCCAGCCCCCCAAATCTGTAATTCAGTGCATCCCTTGACCATAGATATGGCCACAATATTGTTTTCTATCTCATCAAACAAGTTCACATTCAAAGTGTGTCTGTAGCTCAGTGTTAGCACTTCTGATTTGCCATGATGGCCCCAGGTTCAGTCTCCAAGGTCCAGGTAGTAGGTGATGTGAAAACCCCCTGCCTGAGTCCTTGGACATCTGCAGCTAGTCAGAGTAGGCAGTGCTGACCCAACAGACCAATGGCCTAACTCACTGTAAAGAAGATCTATGTATGGGGTTCCCTAGAAGCTGAGCATGGCACACAAAAGTACTACAAAACACTCTTTTCAGGTTATGAAAAGAAATGCACTTAGAAGCTGAAACTAGATTGCAGGACCTGGAATACAAATGAGGAGGGGCAGACAGTCTCATCTTGCACGTGAGACGTTCCAGTGATGGCTATGGGGCCAACTTCTGAGTAAAAGTGCATTAGGCTGCAGCCAGTGTTCCCTCTAAGCTGAGTTAGTGTGAGCTTGCTCACAGTTTTTTAGCCTCCGGCTCACACATTCTTGTCTCCGCTCAGGAAGGGATGGCTCCAGAGCAAACTGATTGATGCAGTAGACAAATCGCTCGCTCACAACTTTAATGCCAGTCGCTCACAAAGGAGAATTTTTGCTCACAAGACTCCACAGCTTAGAAGGAACATTGGCTGCAGCTACTAAATGATAGTCTATAGCTGGCCAGAAATTGAAAAGGGAAAAAGTGAACCAATACAAAGGAGTAAATAAGACAGCTCACAACATGGATCTATGGTATAACACTAAACAAAGTTCAATGCAAAATCAAATACAGGAATAAAGACTAAGTGGGGTTACTGATTACAATCATCACAAAACCAATAGCCAGGGATTATCAAATGGTTAGGGAGGCAGGGAGTATGGAAAATGCGGGGTGGGTGGGAGATAGATCAGATGGTGCTGTGGGAGGCTGAGATAAGGCAAGACTCCAATGTGGCAGACTCTGTTGTAGTCGGGGCTCACCCTCAGAATCCTCTTCCCAGCACCAGAGTTTAGTTTAGCAAAACATACCTAATAAAGGTATGCCTCATATGTACATACAACTTTCCCACAGAACTCAAGACGGCGCACTTGGATGGAATGAACTCACTACGCTCTTAACACATCACCGCCCTGGCTGTCACAGACAGGCTCGTCCAGGCGAGAACGGCCGCCCATGGGACACCCGGCGAGCCTCAAGGTCCCCCGAACGGAGACAGGGACCCGCTTTTGAAGGCCTAGCTAGCTCTGCCCACCTAACGCCCCGCGAGCTCGGCGCATCCCGGCTGAGGGTCAGGGTGAGGCGCTGGAGCTGACACACGTAGCGGCCCACTCCGTTCCGCAAGACGCTCGTCAAGAAACGGCTCGGCGGCCCTGCGCCCGTCATGGCAGAAGCACGGCTGGACAACAGGACCACCGCGGACTCCTCCTCTCCCAGCCGTCACAATGCCGGAAGTAGAACCCCTACAGGAAGTCGCGCGCGTGGTGACGGGCTTCGTTCCCACAGAGACAGCAAAAGACGCCTCAAAACCGGAATTCGTGGTAAAAACTGGACGCCACTATTGGCTACAATTCTACATTGCGCAGAGAGACGCCGCTCTAGGCTTCTATGACGAAGCCCCTATTACGCTTTACATGAGGATTTAAGTGAGAAAAACTGTTCAATTTTAGACCAGAAATGCAACTAAGGACTGTAAGGGCGGACTTACCTTTTATCTTGTCTTTCCTTAACACCATCTCGTCCCGCCTCCTTAGGCACTCCAGAAGTGACGTCTCACTGTTGTGGTTCCGGGTCAAGGCAATGGCGCGCTCTCTGTGGCTGCACGTGGGGTGATTGTATAAGGATTGTATAAGCGCAGAAAAGGGCTCGTGGGCGGAGCCGGCCAAGTTTTGCAGCGGCCACGGTAGAGGCTGAGCCTCGGCGGGTGCTCCTTGCTGCAGGGGCTGATGGGGGCCTGCCTTCCAGGAAGATGGCCAGGGGTGGGAGATCCTAGGAAGATGACCCTGCTTGTTAAGTGAAGTTCGCGCGGGAAGACTTGGGCTACGAACGGGAAAGGGGCCAGACGCGATGTCCGGCAGGTCCTCGTCCTGTGCCTGTCGTGTTCGGGTGGGAGGAGGAGCGTCTGAGGACGAGTATCGGAGCTTGCAGCTCAGGCGCTTGGGGAGAGCTTTCTTTAGGAGGAGATGTCTGGGAAAGTGGAATGGGGCAGTGTCGGTGTTGTGGATGCGGGAGGTATTCATTAGAACCTTCCAAAATGCCAAGTTGGTGGGTTTGGCTTGCATAGTGTATTGAAAGGATTCTCAGACCATCCATCTTTCTGCCACTTGTGTAGAAAAAATGTGGTTCCCCATGCGCTCGTTGCGCATTCTTTCTAACTGTTGGTCCTCTGGAGGTGGACGAATCCTGGCAAGCAGCCATACTTGCAGACGTTACAAGAAGGAGGTGCTTCCATCCCCAGAGGGACTGGTCCCACCTGTGTCAGTCACAGAGATACGACAGTATTTGAGGGCACAGGACATTCCTTTTCATGAGGGCTATAGTTGTCTTCACACACCCAGCATTTTTGTGGAGGAGAAGCAACAGGTTCGACATAGCTACAGCCTGTTTATTGACAAAACCACAGGCCACTTTGTCTGCACTGCCACACTGATTGAGGGTAACTGGCAAGACTTTCAGGCCAGTGTTGAGTTGAAACATAATGGTGTGGCTCTTGGTGAACTGCTAAAGACTGATGGGCAAAAGGACCAAGCCAGTGAGGATGCCCAGCATATTTGGGAGAGAGCTTTGCCTCTTTGGGAACTGCTGGATAAGCAGGAGACACAGGAAGTCAGGGCTGTATTTCGTATTTCCAATGTGTCTGATACCATCCTTAAGCGTTTTGGGGTGCGTTATCTGCGGACAGCTCAGGCATTGGTCTTCCCATGGTTTAGCCCCCAGGGCACCAGCCTTAAGGGCTTAAAGCTTTTGGGAGTTGAGTGCCAAGGAAAGACAGTACGTTATGTGGAGAACACTCTACCCCGGCCAGGTGCCTATTACAATCTTTTTGGACTGCCTCTGATCAGCCGGCGAGATACAGAAGTGGTCCTGACTGGACAGGAGCTGGATGTCTTGGTACTGCACCAGGTGACTGGGTTACCAACTCTGGCCCTGCCCCGAGGGATTTCCTGCCTCCCCCCAACCCTTCTTCCCTACTTAGAACAGTTTAAAAGGATTACACTGTGGCTGGGAGAGGATCTCCGTGCTTGGGAGGCTGCCAAGCTGTTTGCCCGCAAACTGAATCCTAAGCGGTGTTTTGTGGTACAGCCTAGTGACCAGCAGCTCCGTCCCCTAGAAGCTTTCAGCCGTGGCTTAAACCTCACCAAGATTTTGCGTGCTGCCCTCCCTGCTGGCCACAAGTCCATCATTTCATTCCGTGAGCTTCGTGAAGAGGTATTTGGGGAGTTGGCCAATGTGGAGCAAGTGGCTGGGGTCAAATGGGCTCGTTTTCCAGAAATGAACAAACTCCTGAAGGGTCACCGAAAAGGGGAGCTCACAGTCTTCACAGGTGATTAGATGTGTTGCACTTCTCCATCCTACCTCCGCCTTACAGTTTGTGTGTAATTGTTCAGTTCCTCAGTACTGTTGGTGTTTTGCTGAATTAACTTTCAGTAACACATATGCTTTGAATATCTTGTTGCTATTGCCAGACTAACAGTGCAGTCTTCTGCAGAGTTATGCAAGTATAAGCCAATTGAAATAAATTACTTTAGACTGGTGTAACTGCATAGGATTGCACAGTAAGTCTTGTTGCATACTTGAGCAGCTACCTCATAGTGTTGTCTGTTCCAAATTCATGTCTATTTGTTTACAGGAAAGGTTAGCCTCACCCCATTGATCTTGGCGTTGGGTTTCTTTTGTGTCAGTGTTTGCTGCAAGTTTTGAATACTCCATTTGGCCTATAATGATAATGATTGCTTTATTGTCCTAACTAGGTTGGGGACCTTTTATTCATTGTATGTTTTATTGCCCAGCAACTTTCTTGATTTTAAATTACCTAATAGAATGAAGTAAGAACGCACGTATGCATTCTCAGGCAAGGCATGCACACATACCTTCCGCACCCAGACATGCAGTCTGTCTGACAACACATTCATGAAACACCCTGTGGATGAAGGTGCTTGTCAGTCCATATGGAAACTCATTATTTAACTATTTTCATGTAGATTGGGAAATCTTAACTACACCTGTTAATTTTGCTCTTTTCTCCATGGTCTAGGTCCAACTGGCAGTGGGAAGACAACTTTTATCAGTGAATATGCCCTGGATCTCTGTATGCAGGGGGTGAATACTTTGTGGGGCAGCTTTGAGATCAACAATGTGCGCTTGGCCAAGATCATGCTTACCCAGTTTGCCATGGAACGGCTGGAGGAGCAGCTGGAAGACTATGATGAGTGGGCAGACAAATTTGAGGATCTTCCTCTCTACTTCATGACTTTCCATGGGCATCAGAATATCAAGTAAAGGCAGCTTCCTTCCTGTATATACTGTTAAACTTCCTGATGCTGAGGTGGAAGATCTGGTGTGATGTCTTCATTGACTGTGTTGTTAAGACTACACTCCCAGTACTTACTTGGGAAGAAATCGTTGGGTAGTACTCTTTAGATCAGGGTGTAAGTGTCCTGGGGTGGAAAGGCTGTTTATAAGAGCTGGAGCTAATACAGAAGAGTTGTTTTGCCCTGCTAGTCTCAGAGACCCAAAGCAGTGCAATCAGGTTCATGTTCTATCTGCATCAGGACAGTGCAGTGGAGAAGCCACAAGATTGCTCTTTCTACCTCTTGTAGCTTTAAAAATTGAAAGTATCTTTTAGCCTGAAAGAGTAGCTGAAATTGGCACAGTTCTTGAAACTTTTGAGGGAGCTGTTAAGTGGATCCTGACTTGGGTGCAAGGATGAGGATTACAGGGTGATACAGTTGTATTCCTATGCTTTCTGTTAATCTAGGCAATGCCTGTTCATATCCTTGCCAATGGGGTACAGGATTATGAGACATAATATGTAAGTGGGGAAGCTTGCTTCTATGAAAGAGAGTGTGTGCCGCTAAAGTAATTGTCTTCTCCCATACAGGACAGTGATAGATGCCATGCGGCATGCTGTGTATATGTATGACATTAGCCATGTGGTTATTGACAACCTCCAGTTCATGATGGGCCAGGAGCAGCTGACCACGGACAGGTAGCCCTTCATGGTTTTTTCCCCCCCTACACTGTGTTCCTCCTCTGTTTCCTTTTGGTTAGTCTAGCAGTTTCTTTATTACAGTGCCTATTGTAGCTTAGCTATCCTCCCCTATTATTCCAGGCTACATCCCAGTCCAAACCATGCTTACTTAGGGCCACTGAAGATGTAATGCTACTAATTACTTAACCTGGATGTGGAGCAGGGCATAGGCTCACATGAGTTGCCACTTCAACTGCGATTAAGCATAATATTGGCAGTGGCATTGGGTTGGATCCAGTGTATCCTGTGCAAAGTTCCCTGAGTTTCCTGGCTTTCCCCTCCTCCCAGTAGCCATCTCTGATCCTGGGAAAGCTTATTCCTGAGATTTTGGAACCCATGTGGAGTAATAATTTAGGTGGGTTGGTGGGGGAACTCCAGTAAGAGGAGGAAGAGAGTGAAATCTCTTTTTCCTGTTCTATCAGCAAATTTCCACTTATGGATAGGGCAGGAGGGAACAATTTCGCCCCCTTCCCACTGCAGCCCCCAAATGTGTATGTGTGTGTAATACTCCACATGGGTCTCACAATCTCGGGAATAAACTTTCCTGGGGTTGGAGGTGTCTGCTGCAAGGAGGGGAAGGCAGGGGAGACTGGTGACTGTTAGTGCCTTCTGATGATAGGTCACAGGATCTACTCCCATTAACTGTGGCTAAGACTACCCAAACTCACACGTTACCATTGTTAAGTCTAGCCAGGATTCAAATTCTGCTTAAGCGGGAACCTGATTAGCATTCACGGTAGTTAATGTTGATATAAGATCGAACTATGGTTGAGGTGAGTGGTGAAATTTCATGCTCTAAAAGATTGTCACTGGCCCTAGGTAACCTTGGTAATTATATATAAAGATTTAAAAGGGAAAGTCAGGGAAGTGTACGTCATGCTTAGACTGGTAATCAGACTTCTGTCTCGTATAAGATGGGGCCTATGAAGCCTTTTGGAGAAGGGAACGTTTCTCTTTCCTTCCTTGGCTCCACTGTGTCAAAAGGTCACCTAGCTCAGGTCAAGGGCCTTTTGGTACAGTGCTGCAACACAAAATTACAAAACTCTGTTGACTGTTCACACACCAGCTTGGTAGTCTGCCACTAGCCTTTTTAACTAACCCAGTAGTCAGAAGCCAAAGGGCAAAGCTTCTAACCGTCCTGGGATTGAACCTGAAAGTCCACCTTGTGAGGTAGGCTCGCAAAATGAGTTTCTCACAAAAGACAATTACAAA